AACGTTGGCAGACAATCTCCACTTATCAGTAAACTTCTTCGCCGCGTCAATTTGCAGTTGCAGTCCCTCAGGGGTGTCCGACATACCGACAAAATCATCCGCAAACAGCATTCCTGAAACCGACGTTTCCGTGTCCCCTACTTTTACTCCCTTCCGGACTGCCTCTACGACTTCCAACAGATTGTTGATGAACACCTGGAACAGTGTCGCGGACAGCGTGCAACCTTGTGGGACCCCCTGCTCAATGTCGAAGAGTTTAGACAGTTCTCCGTGTAACATGACCGCGCTTTTCGTACACTCTGTCATCTTCCTCAGCACTCTCCACATTTTCCCCTTGATCCCGTATTTGGACAGTTGTTTCCACAACCCATTTCTCCANCTGGAACAGTGTCGCGGACAGCGTGCAACCTTGTGGGACCCCCTGCTCAATGTCGAAGAGTTTAGACAGTTCTCCGTGTAACATGACCGCGCTTTTCGTACACTCTGTCATCTTCTTCAGCACTCTCCACATGTTCCCCTTGATCCCGTATTTGGACAGTTGTTTTCACAGCCCATTTCCCCGTACGGTGTCGTATGCCTTTTTCACGTCCAGGAAGCAGCAGTACGTCGGCTTTGCCACCCTCTTTCTACCTTGGATGATTCTCCCCACCGTGAATACCTGGTCTATGCACCCCCTCTTCTTTCGGAAACCTGCATGGCCCTCACCCAATTGTACAGCGTACCATCAGGTGGATCATCGCCTTCCCCCCAAACTTGACGATTGTTCGTGAGAGGTCCTAATTTTGATACTTCGTCACCACCGTCGGGTACAGCGTATTCTATACAATATTTTTGTGTGGGGTCAGGGTCCTCGACGGAGCAAAGCTGTGTCTCGTAGCCCGAATTTCTTTTTTTTTCGTAGAAAACAGGTTTTAGCTTTTTTTCTTAGCGGCATTTTTCTTCTGGTCTGTCAGGCGTGATAGATGTATCTACCACACGGATACACCTGCTGAGGTCCTTGCATCTCTCCCCGCTAGTGTACTACAGTTCAAGAGACAATATGCAGTGCCCGACGTTCGTCCTGTGAATTCCTCTCCGTGTAAGATGAATCATGCCTACGACAAATTGCTATTGCAACTCTGGAATATTGGCCGTGACGAAGCGCTGCATTGCGTCAGCTCAAGCGATAGAGAATCACGCGATTCACTCCAGGAATCAGTGTTCGCCCTACATGGTGAGGCACACGTCCAATAGCGAAATCGTTTAGGTACGTCTGGGTACACAATAATTAGATCTACCGTTTCGGACGGGTTCCGTGTAGTCCATACCACTGAGACGCAAGACACCCTGCCCTTTTTCGATCTTTTGCCGCACCGTTGACTATTAGTATCGCTTTGGAACGTGTGCAGTAGACCCTTGGTTTCGTACCCAGTCACCGATGAGGCATGCATTGCGGAGGGTACCTGCAAACCCGACGCAAGGAAAATGGCCACGCGTATCCACGCGCGTTGTCTTCCTTGCCATTCCCTGCCCCGCTTTGGTCGGGACTGGAAGGCAGCTGTAATTGTTTCTCGACGGAGGTAGTGCAGGGTGCATGCGGTGCTGTAGGTTATGCTGTTGCGGAGTTCAGGGGGTCGTTTTGGTCAGGGATTGCCTTTTCCCTTTCTGGAACCAGCACCCGCTGTTGAGTACAAGATGGGGTAGAGACGTCGTCCTGTTGACGTTGGTGTTCACCAAACCTAACACCGTACCCACTTGTGACTCACACAGAATACCTCGCTAAAGCAGTTACCGTTTGCTGTTGCACAGATGGCCATAGAAACCGTGCAGCTTGCGGGATCACGCGCGAAATCGACAAAGGAGCTACAACGCTGAGAATTTTGAGGTCGTATGCTACCTATTTTCTACAGCGTGTAGACTAACTGTACGACAGTCAAGTACGGTTGCATGCATG